AGATTAAGATTTTATGTACAAAACATATGATTATAATATAAAATATAATGCATTGTTATTTATAAGACATCCTAACAGTAAATAAATAAATAAAGTTTGACTCTTTGACCAACTACAGAAGTAAAACGCTGCTCACACATTCCTGCATCAGCAACACCAATTCCAATTCCACCATTTTTCTGCATTCAATACTTTAAGTAAGCTTAAAAAGACACATTCTGATAATACTTACGTACTTTTACTCAAAGAGCTTTTTCAATACAAGACTTTAACTCGTATGAAGTGTTTTACAGTGTGGTTTCTACATTATGTGTCCACTTGCCTCTCCTTCTCCAGGTCTGCCTGGTATGAGCAGATGACTGACGGGTCTTTGGGGTGGGCAGTTCGGAGAGGAGGGGTCCTCCCCAGCCTGTTGCATCCTCCTCTTCCTCTTCCTCTTCCTCCCCCACCTCTGCCTCTCTTGTTCCTGGGTTTGGCACACAACTGCCTCTCCTTCACCCCTGACACACAGCTGGTCAGCTTCCTGATGGGCCTCCTCAGCGACTTCTTCACCCTCACCACAGACTCCATGATGGGAGAGGGGGGATTGACCAAACTGCTACTTCTTTGACAGATGGCAGGTGAACATAGAATAGTTTCCCCCTTCGCTCATGTTGTGTTGCTCTGACAGGACAAAGTCAGGACACACACACGTCACGTCCAGTGGCGGCAATAACTCAGGTTGAGACATGCCAAGGACAAGGACGGCATTCAGACAAGGCTCAGACACACAGACTTAGTAAACACACTCTCACACACATGCGCCTGCTTATAAAAGATTACATATGCATATGAAGTCTGTCATCTAGAGGAAAGGGAAGCACTAAAAGACCAAGATGGAAACCAAACAAGAACAAAAATAATTTAAAGTTATTTTTCACTCATTATTTATCCACACACTAATTTTAGTTTGTTCAGTCCACAGTTTCTTACCAATGCAAGGGGCCACAGTTGGCCAAAGGCTCTCAGCATAAAACCCAGATAAAGCTCCAGCCAGATGGCATCCACCGCCAACAGGCAATCCTCCAAAGCTTCAGAACAAATCAGAGAAAACAGGAAGAAATACAGCAGAAGACTCTAAGGATGTTGTCCTAGTGCTCCTTGGCCCTCACAGGAGAAAAGTACTGTTTTGTGGTCCAAGTTTCAGCCACTGCTTCTTCTGCGTCCCTCCTCCAGACTCGCTTCGCTCTTCAACACTCTCCTATACAGATTACCACTTAAAGGACTTAATGAGGGGAATCTCGTTAGCTGAGGCAGGTAATGCACCCGATGACTCACGTGTTGGTGATGAAGATTTACAGACTTTAGCTGATGTCATGTTGAGTGACACATGGATGTGTTCACAGACCTGATGTCAGTATATTTCTCATTTGTGCTCTTAAAATGCTGAAAATGATCTCTAAATTAAGTAGACTGGGGGTAGCTGGTAGGGGTCATTCAACTTCCACCACCTTTTACTTCCAATGGTATTTATTCAGTTTTAATCTGAAACTTCACACTGGTCATTTAAGAGACCATGTGAGGAATCATCGTTTGTCTTTTTATGCCTCTTTCTCCCTCTTCATTAATAATTTTTCTTATTTTAATCCTTATTTGTTCAATTTTTTCTATTAATCATTTGCTTTTATTTTTATTTTTCATTACTTGTTTGAGGAAATAGCAAAAGTTTGCAGATATGTGTCTGTAATCACAGTGACAAACTGAAAAAACAGCATTATACTTTAAGACCCTTTATATAGCATTATTTGGTTTGCCATTTAAACAATTATTTACTTAACTTATTGTTATACAGCTGTTTTTTACTATATTATCATTCATCATCTGTGTATTCAGCAGCCTCCTTTGGGTGCCAACAGGAGGGCTTATAGTTGTTGACAAATAGATAAATAAACATTTCATTCTGCTTACAGCTACATTATAGTGTGTTTTAAATACTTTACTAAAGGTTTATATACTGATTAATGCTAAATATGGGGACTTAAAGTAAACTGTCATCGATGTGTATTCTCAGAATTTGCTCCAGCACTTCTTCTGATTTCCTTTTGGCACATTTTCTACTGAATTAAATGTCTTTGAATGACTCTGCAGAGTTTTGTGCTCTATGACCTGCTCTCATGCCCTATTTGGCATTGACATCACACACACGCCCTCTGAACACTTCAACCACTTGTTTACCTCCTACCTGCCCCCTGCACAGACCACTTCGAATTCTGACAGGTGAGGAGGCTTTAATCCTTTAACAAGATCCCAGAGAAGATCAACGCCTCCTCAAGCTCATGTTTAGCAACAGATCTGGGATCAGTTTACTCATACAAAGCGCAGGCATTTACAGCTGAAGGGTGGGAGGATGAGTTGGTTCTGGGTCAGCAGGTACAGACAGGTAGAGCACGTTATGGACCCTACACCTGAAATATGTTAATATTCTCCAATTTATTACAGCATGCAAAGCTGGATAATTTTGAAAAATCAAGTAACCAAAAATAATCAACTTATTTTTGATAAGCAATGCACACTTGGTCAAATCCATTGTTTAGTGTATGTGTGTGTGTGTGTGTGTGTGTGACAACCAGACCTTCCATGCAAGCCCACCAAAAAGAGACACTTAAGGAATTTTTAAGTGGATCAGTGTCCAACACGTGAAAGGCAGCCACTGACACCAACACATTAACACACACACACACACACACACAGACACGTCCTCATGCATTGAGTCACGAGAAGCGTGTCTTCTGCACAAACAAAAGCTAAGTAAATATTATTTAAATACAAAGTTATAGATTTAAATATGACCATTAGGGGATTTACTCTTGTGCTATGTGAACATTATTACTATGTACTTTAGTAATACAGACTTATTGAAATTAATCTCAGTTCTCATTATTTTGATTTTTAATTTGTTAATGTTTTATGAATTTTGTCTCCAGAGACAGAAACCGACAAACATCCATTCAGACTGACAAGCTGCAATAAATAGAAACAGCATTTTTGTCATTCTATCCAAGACATCACACTCATTACTTTTTGTAATTCTTGGTCACATTGTATCATAACTGGTTGAGACATTTCTATTTAAATGAATAGGTGCCATCTTTGAGTTCTGTTCTTTTAACACAACCATGTATCATTCTCATATTTCATTCTAGTCAGCAGATTATAAATATGAGTGAATCTGAAAGAAACCTACTAGAATTATTTTTGTTTTTTTGGTTTCAGGTTTATTGCTGAGAACCTATAACGATGATTCATTCAGAAACGATTTGGCACCTTCTCAAATTCCACGACCCTCTTGGTCCAAGGCTAGAGCAGAAGGTGGCAGTGTGCGCTGTAGGAGGTTCTCAGCCTGCTGAACCACCTGTTTGAGCTCTATTCTGGACTCCATTGACACTTTCAAGTCTCATCTCAAAAGCCTTAGCAGTAAACCTTGCTTGGTATGGGAAAAAATCCGTTACCTATACTAGAATACTGTTTTTAATACATACTGCATGTTCAATATTTATCCTTACTTATTCAGACGGGTTATGGGTTGTGTCACAGTTCTCAGCAAGTTTCTTGGGACATTTTTGATACTTTATTGATTTATACTCTGGGTTTTATAGTGTTTTTACCTGTAAGGTGACCTTCAGGTGTTATGAAAGGCGCCAACAAATAAAATTTATCTATTGATTATTATTATTATTCATTTTATTATATTAATTATTATTATTATTCAGAGACGGCCTCCAAGTCTGCCTGATTACCCCAAAAGTTGGTGACTGGTTTTGCCATCCAGGCGTACTTGCTTGCAAGGTGTCATTTTAAAATTAATGTACACCAAAAACTGGTTTCATTCAAGGGTGCTATGAACAAGCTGTTTCAATTTCACTTAACTATGTAGTACTTCGGGTGTAAGTTTTAGTAGGTTTTGCTGGACTGCAGATTAGCAGACACCCTGACTGAACTGAGTTTCTTTATTGCTCTATCAAATTGTCCTGAGGAGCACAAAAAAAAAAAAAACCAGTCAATACAATTTCAAATATAAATGAAAATACACTTTCACCTACTGGTAAACACATCCCTCACAAGTGTGATGCGGCACCCGCGCCATGTACTGGTTGTCTACTGCTTGTGAGTGCACAGGTGTTACAATAATTAAATCTTTGTACTGTCACTGACAAACAACAAGTAAACTGCGCCGATTAAATCTATTACACGAACACACAAAGACATATTGATTTTACTTTCCTTCATTGAAATCTCCACAACACACTTTTAAAATGTCTCTTTCAATTTTTAGCCATCTCTTCAGTCGCTCATTCATCAGCTTTACAAACTTACTTTTAGCATTGCCGAAGGAAGACATAGTCATCCACACACATTTAATACATACCCCTACTAATAAACATAACCGTACACACAACCGCCCACACACACACACACACACACACACACACACACTGCAGAAATAAGGTCTCATTCAGTCAAACACACATACGTTGACAATGAGTCTTTCTCAGCTCTGCCAAGGCTGAAGAGGAAAACTGGCAAGCGCACACACTCGCTCAGCCTTGTGACCATGCTCTCTGCACTCGATCAAGATGCCAGAGGATGACTGCGAGTAAACTGGCATTTACGAGGGGAGTGTGTCTGTGTGTGTGTTGTGTGTGTGTGTGTGTGTGTGTGTGTGTGTGTGACGTACATGGATGGGCCGTATTCTGATGAGCTGAGAGGCCTCAATCAAAACACGAGAACGAGAACTGAATTTATTCAACAACTAAAGAAGTCTTTCCATACAAAAATTATTACAAAAGTGACTGAGAGAATAAAACTAAAAATATATTTTTTAAATGATTGTATAACTTAGCTTTTGTATCTATCCTCTAAATTTTAGAGGTACAGTTCTTTTTTTGAAACTTGTTGAAGCTGATCTTGCATGTGAGAATCAGTGTTTAAATGACAATACCCAGGGGTTTTGCATGTTTGTGTCCATTTAATACTGATGCCTCTATATTACCTACATAAACAAACAGGACCATCAGCAAGAGGATTGGCTATTTCTATATGGTTACTCTTAATGCCTGCCACCGGGTCAAATTTGGTCTACCAAATACTACCACATTTGTCCACAGGGGCCGCCAGAATCAACACAAAATTCCTTGCGGGGGCTTGGTTGTGGTTAAGTCTCATCACTGTTATCAGCATTGTTTTCAACCAGGCCGGGCAGCTGTTTTTAGAACAAATAATCTCTACAAACCTACTGTGTGCAACAAACAACAGACGGTGACAATAACGAAGAATTTAGTATCTAGAGAGCCAAATATTTCCCTTAGGAGTTGGTGGAGACAAAACCAGCGTTAAAAGAGAGTTAATGTTGAACTTAAATTCACTAGGTGGCCAAATGAATGAAATTTTTTTTCTCTGTATCAACTGAGTGTGTAAATTTTCAATTTAAATACAAGACATGATGTGTCCTGAGAGTCTGTAATGATTTGGTGCTATACAAATACAACTGAATTGAATTGAATATCAGAATTGTGTTCACAGCTTGTTTCCAAAATGGCCAAATAATCACATAACTGCTTATGAAATTACATCCTGTGAAAATAATTGCCTTGACCTGCCTTACTCTTACAACTCAATCAGCTGACCTCAGTTACCTCCGTAACCCAATCATCTTGTTGGTGTCAAACAAATCCTCCTTTCTCTGCTGCTGTCAGCTGTCAGTGTCTGACTGACATGACACACCTCAACCCGACAGTCACCTCTGGTGTCTTCACAGCCACCTGTCCAGTGGGTCCTTCCTCTGAGCTCATTAGGAATCCTGCTCCAGATCACATCCACTCACATCTCCAGCTATTGTTCTTCACTCTTTCACCACCACAAGGATCTGAACTCCACCATAGCATGATAACCCCAATAAATTTATGACACCACAGTGGGGTCTAATTGCCAAAGACTCCTCACATACAGTATATCTTCCACTTTTCCTACTGTGCATACTATATCAAATATTTGTATTTTTAATAATTCTTTAAAGGTCCACTGTGTAACATTTAGGAGCACCTTTAAGGCCATCTTTCAATTAGTCTCTCCTGATTGAAATGAGAAGTACAGCATACGTAGCTGAGAAACAAAAACACTGGTATGGTCCCCACTTGAAGTGGCTATTCAGGGTCATCTGCTCATATCACAGCTGTTCCTCCAGATGTGACTTCTTCCTGGATGATGGACGGGCAGGAAGAAGGGGTGACACAGAGCAGAGGAAAGAGAGATACGTATTGAGGGCTCGTACTCCAGCATCCTTTCCAAGAGACCAAAAAACTGGTGGTGCTCTGTTCCATGTGATAACAAGTACTTCTGAAAAAAAAAACAGATTAAAAGAGAAACATGTTGTTAAAGCGAGTTAATGTACTTGGCTTGTTTTTGCACCTGCCTTAACACACCCTTAATGGTTTGCATTTGGTTTTCACGTAGCGTCCGGCCTTAGAGCACTCGCTCCAGTCGAGACGCCCACGGTGGAAATACTTCTGCTTTCTGTGAAGAAAAAGTAATGTCACGTCAGATGAAGTCTGTTTTCATGCATTTTTGTGCTTAAATAACAGCGCTCGGGAGTGTGTTATACCTGCTCCTTTGGATCATTCTCTGAGGAATTGGTCCCTGAACTCTCTCCATCATAGCAAGATGCTCCTTGTTGTCATGAGTCTATAAGCGGAGACAGACCCACAAGTGAAGAAAATGTTAACAAAATCATCCTAGTTCCAGCATGCAAGCAGTGTAAACACACAGGTGACCTGGTACAGTGTAAAGCCTTCGTAGTATTCAAACAGGATGCAGCCAATACTCCACACATCGCAAGGGTGACTCCAACCCAACTCTGTGGGAGAGAGAAAAGGGACAAAACCTTAAAAAACAACTAAACTGGACTGACAGCTCCTGGTTACTCCCTTGTCTAAATCAACATCTCTTACCCAGTATGACCTCTGGAGCTCGGTAGTGACGTGTAGAAATGACAGTAGAGTGGTGTTCGTGGTCAAAGGTGGCACTGCCAAAGTCAACAAGTCGCACTGTGGTGTCATTTACTCTCCTCTCGTTGCACTTCTTAAAGAAGACAGAAGGAAAAACTGAACCTAACCTCATCATTTAAAGATCCAGTGTGCAGGGTGTAGTGACATCTAGAGGTGAGGAAGCAGATTGCAACCAACTGAACACATCTTGTCTCACTCTCCCATTCTTAGCAAAACTATGGTGGCTGCAAATTAAAACGCAATGTCCTATTAAGATAGTTTGTCTGGGTTACTGTAGAAATATGGCAGTTCAACATGGTGGACTCCCTCTGTAGATATAAAGGGCTCATTCTAATGTAACAAAAACACAATGATTCTTATTTTCAGGTGATTATACACTAATGAAAACAATCCATTCCTCCCAATATGCCCTCTCTAAACCTTAAAGTAAGTAAGTAATTAGCTCCAAAGAAAAACTGTGCATGCACAAATGTGCTAAAGGAAAAGGAACATTAGCTGCCAGTTAGCTTTGATTTTACTGTTCAGACAGGATGCGGGGTGAATTTTGTTGTTGTATTTGTTTTAAGTCAGAGGAAAGACATTTAGACACAAAATCAAATTGACTTGAAGAAGCTAACATCTGTACAGTTGGTGCATTGGCTGTTTGGGGTAATAAACACAGACTGCACAAAGTATCTAGTGATCAAATGTGCACGAATGACACACACGTGCTGTGTGTTTTGTACGGATTAAATCAGATTTAACATGGTAATTACTCAACTACTGAAGTAGTTGGCAGGTTTATTACCTTCGGACAGAGCCAGCTAGCTTTTCCCTCAGCTTCCAGGCTTTATGTTAAGCTAAGCTAACTACTGCTGCCAGGAGCTTTATATTTATGTATGATAGGTCAAAGTTTAACCAGTAAATCAGCAAAAAGGAAAAGTTTTCTATTCTGAATAAATTTGGCTAACTTTGGTTTGTTTAAAACCTGCATGATTGTCTCACTGCTCTGTTTTGTGCCCTATTAGACATCTTTTTAGCAATTACTTATAAGTACAATGTTATTATTACCGATAGGAATGAAGTTTTTTTTTAAACTGATTTTTTCTATTATATGGAGAATTAAAAAATGATATATCTCTTCAAAAGATGCCACACATTGCGCCGCTGAGGTCAGCGAACACAACCCACAGTCATCCTGGATTAATATGTGCACCTAAAGGGAACACGTGGGTGGTTCACTGAGCGAAATTTGCATCCAAATGCGCAACACAAAGCAATCTTCCTGGCTGTTCTGCCTGCATTAATCCCTGCTTATTTAACATCCTTAATTTTCTTGAAGGCCCCAGCCCTCATGCCTGCAGTTGTTTCTAACCTTCTCAGCGTTGTATATTAGGGAGAAGTCTGAGTTGACAAAGAGGATGTTCTCAGGCTTCAGGTCGGTGTGAGTCAGCTTGTTGTCATGGAGAACTGCAGTGGAGACAGAGGGAGGGGAGGAGGAGGGAAAGTAGATTAAGATTTATCAGGAGACAGCCAACGCCCTCATCTGGTTGAGTTTTCTGTTGGTTAAACAGTTACACATCATGAGACATTTATCAGAAACCTTTGTGAAACCAGCTTGTCTGCTAAAATCCTGATTAAATTAAAAAGAACGGTATCATAAATTATCATACTGATCATTTATAACTCATAAATTTGCTCTTTTTCTCAGCACCACCTTGCATCACTATACAGACCAATTCACCAGTAAGTAAGAGCGCCTCAGTAGCTGTTATGTACAGCCATCAAGCTTCTGAAGTTTGAGGACGACACCACCCTCACTGGGCTCATCTCTGGTGGAGATGAGTTTGCCTACGGGTGTGAGATTGACCGTCTGGTGACCTGGACAGAACAATGTGGAGCTCATCTTCGGATATGATTGCAGAATCCAGCCGCCCCCATGTGGCTCCTCAGTCAACACTTCTTGGACACCATCATCACCCGGGATCTCAAGTGGGAGCTGAACATCTTACCCTCCCATAAATTGAGAGTGTCTATGGAAGTGTCTACATCTGACTCAGTCCTTTTTGTAGATTTTATCTCCACATCTTTGTACTATGATCTTTTCATTTTAACAGTCATATTTTTCGTTGTAAATTTACATTTTGTTGAAATGGGGAAACTAGGATTAGTATTCATAAATCAGTATTTTTCATTATCAATATTTTCTAAAATTAAAAGTCTGATGTGTAATGTTCAAAATAATGTGCATAACTATGTTTTAATTAGTGTATAATCACGTATAATCAGAATTGTTGTGTTTTTGTTGCCTTAAAATAAGCTGTTTTTATCTACAGATGCCACGAGTGGCCTTCCATGGAGGATGGATCTACAGTAGCCCAGATTGGACAAAACTAAAACTGGCTCTAGAGAGGTCCATACGCATTTTTTGCCAGTTGCACAGCCACCATAGTTTCTCCTTTGCACTTGCGTGGGTGAAGCGAGTGAGTTGCAATCTGCAACTACACTTCTAGATGTCACTAAATCCTACACAATGTTCCTTTAACTTCAATCAATTAATTAAGAAAACAACCAAGAGATTAATTGATAATGCAAATAATCATAAATTACAGCCCTAATTGTCTTTAACCTGGTATGGGATGTGAATCAGGAACATGTGCATCATCTTCTGGTAACAGTCACCCTCTAAATATCTACCTGGTCTGTTTGCTGCTGCATCAGTGACGGCTGTGAATAATCAGCTCACTGTCGCTACTGACACTGAACCAGGAGTACGAGAGAAAAAAGAAAAGTGGTACAGTTAATGTGATGCATGTTGGACTCACAGCTGACAGCGTGGCAGATCTGGTGGGCCATGTGTCGGATCTGGTTAATGGGATAAGGCAGGAAGTTGTTTGCTTTCAAGAAGTCAAAGGTGCTGAGAGACAGCAGCTCAAAAGAGATGCACACGTGGCCATAGTAGTTAAACCAGTCCAGCATCTGCACACAGTGACTGATGGGAGAAGAAACACAGAGATGAAATGTTGCAGACAGAAAAAGAGAAACATCATCACAAGCTCACTCACTGTTTGTTGTCTGGGTCTCTCTCGCTGATCTTCTCCAGCACATTGATTTCCAGTTTGGCTGCTTCTCTGTATTTATCCAAGTTCTTAATGATCTTCAGAGCAATTTGATTTCCTCCTCTGTGTGTCAAAACACTGTGTTATTAAAAGTATTAAACACAACACCTATTTCATATCGGTCCAACCTTCACCATGAAGAAATTTACCTGCTGTGGTCCAAACATTGTACCACCTTCCCAAAAGTTCCCTCACCTAAAGTGTCGACTATCTCGTCTGAAAGACAAATTGAGGCGAAATTAAAGCTGGAGAGTTTGTTACGAAGGCTGCCAACACTTCAGAATTAACTGTAACCTACATCTGTCTTCAAGGAGGTCCCCACTTTTGTAGATCAGGTGACCGTTCTCAGTGTCCCTTTCATTGTCGTCGGCAGCCTCGTCGCTGCTCCGCTGGAAACAAAGTCAACCACACTTATGACAGGTGGAACAAAGGAGAAAAGAACTGTCCACAGATCAACCTGCCTCTGTCCTTTATTCACTGTTCAACTATAAACAGAGTGGTATCTTATTCTGGGTCCTAAAGGTCAAAGGTCATCACAATCTGGATTTACCCCTGGCTTAGACTGATGCATGCAGATACAAACAAATCTACACTGACAGGTTCTTTAAAACTGCTGTTGAGTCCTAACCCTGTATCAGTAGCTGGATAATGTGTATTGGTTGCTCCTATCAGAGAGTACTAAGTCAAGAGGTGGAGTTCAACTACTTCAGTGCAAGGTGGAAACATAATTTTACTGCAGACTCTCTTAATGCAGCCGTGATAAAAACAAATCCTCCAGAATGCGAGCTTCTACACATTTAAGTTGCTCCTGATGACCCAAGCTTGTTCTAAAGGAGGTTAATAAGAAATGTCAAATGACTTCTGGCCTCTTTGGAGGAGCTGAGGCTCTATTTCCATCCACATTCTGAGACTGTTATTAATATGAGAAGCCCAGCGTGTGCTGAGGAGGCACTTACTGCAGGATGTGGGCCACAAAATAGACGAGCAAGTGACAATTATAAACACACACAGTCTGCATGTGATTTCTTGTAAGACAATTGAGGAGCTTAAAGACGAAATTAAGATATAGTGTAGATGATTGCAGGTCCACCATGATGGAGAGGCGACAGAATCATTTATAAGAAACAGATGCAAGAACACAGCAAATGCATGCACAGAGACTGAGATACTCACAGAGAGACAGAGGCAAATACAGTCCAGAAAACCCCTATAGAGAGAGCACAGCTCTGTCTTTCCCATTACGCAGGAGTGCAAAGCTACTCAGGAGACGAGAAGAGCGTGAGTGGAAGAGAATGAAGGATGGAGGGAGGTTGTGGGAAAATGAAGGCAGGTGAAGCAGCAGCAGAAAAACTAGACCATGAGGAGTTGAGGAGTTGAGGAGAGAAAAAGCACAGAGGACGGGACAATACAATATTAAAGCAATGGCACAGAAAAAAATAGAGGGCATGGAGTTGTAACAAAGTAAAAAATAGCCTGCAGTGTTGTCAGCGGAAACCAGAAGTGAAGGAGAGACACAACGACACAGTCTAGCCACAAAAAATCGACAGAAGAAGAAACACCGTAACAGGAATAAAGAAAAAGTAGAAATGACACACGGGAAAACAAGAAAGCTGAAGCACAGACAAAAACAGAAAGTGACGGACAGAAATGAGACGAAGGAGGAGGAGGAGGAGGAGGACAGATAGAGAGTGAGAAAGAGAGAGCAGAGACAGATGCTAATAATAAACTTTGGTCACAACCCCCTGAGAAAGTCTTCAGAGGAGAATCAAGATGTGGTCAGGGGGAGTGAAGGAGGGGAGATCCAGTTTCACTCAACTTACTTACTCTCCTCCTTGCACCTCCTTAACCCCTGCAGTATGTTTTGCCACACCTGTCCTGCTCTGCATGCTACAGATACCTTTCAATAGACAGTGCATGCTTTCTTTACAGAAATAACTGACACGGCTCTCGTAAAGCTTTTATTTTGTAGTTCATGTTCAAAGGGACACAGTGAACAGAGAGGTACACGTTTTTCAGAATAACATGAGGTAATGCCTTTAAAAAAATAATAATAAAAACTGTTAAAATATTCTTCTGAAATCTCATAGTTGATACGATTGTGTTAGTTGCAGTAGCACCAGTGATGTAAAACCATGCTTTTATAAATGTAATTATATAAAACAGCAGGAAATCTTTAAAAAAAACTCAAATAATGTCAAACAGGTCAACTAGACACACCAATAACAAACCTGATGAAGTGATCAGTAACAAAACATTAGACTTCTATAACTATTTTGTATCATATTGTTTTAACTGAACACAGGAAATGTCAGAACCGGACAAAATGTTTCTATCAGACTGAAAAATGATGTCTGTTTTGGACGCTCAAGGTGTACGCGTCACACAATCAGGTGCTCCTCTTCGTAGTCTTGTCCAGGTGAGATCAAGATGTCACCGTAAGGCTCTCGCTGCTCCACACGTACCTTCCCGGCCGATAAAATCTCTACAGACAACACACGCAGGCCAAGTTAAAAACATCCTCTTTGTGCTCAGCTGACCACAAAAAAGATCAAGGTAGGAAAAATCAGGATGATTGCACATATAAACACAACAATATATCCCTTTTACTACAGCTTAAATTGGTTAAATTATCTATATTTTAAACCCAATCCTTTCTCTATGAACTATTGTACATGAACCCCCTGTGTGTTATTGGTCCTCATCATACAGATGCTCCTAAACTGTAAATCAGATCTCATAACTCACTGACCACATAGTGATTAAAGAGCTTCCTCCGGTGTTGATTCCTGTGGCATTAACACAATTTCAACATGAGTAATGGGATGATTCAATGATAAGTGAAACTGATGCCTTACCCAGAAGCCTCTGAAAAATGTTGCTGACAGTTCTGCGGTCGACCTCTGGCGGCAGAAGAGACTGAAACAGCACAGGTGCTATTTCTTGCTCGTCCAACTCCGGCAGCAGCCTACACACACACACACACACACACACATACACGCACACACAAACACACACATACATACATGCATACACGCGCACACACACACACACACACATACACACATACACGCATACACGCGCACACACACACATACACATTCTTATCTCCAAATCTAACTAAATGCAAACACTGGGGAAAACAAACTTCTCAGCTCTGACCTTGAACTGGTTAATAATGGTGTTGCATTCACTGTCATTACCCAGGTGACTCTGCTGCAGCTCTTTCCAGCAACTCGTCCGCCACCTCTGGGATGTCCTGCAGTGTAGAAACAGACCTGGAGACAAGGGACCTGCCAACACACACGTGTGCATATAAGCATGACTGCACACACACACACTTGACACATCTTTCTTTGTTACCTACCCTTCTCTTTCAGATGAGGGCATGGGGGAGATCTCTCGAGACACCTCCTGTTGATCGGAGCCCTCCAGTGGCAGTGAAACGTGGTCTGGACAAACACACACACATTTGAGGACATTGGTTTATATTCATTCCCCTGAGGCTTGTCCTAACCCTTAACCACAAGTGATACATGCCTAAACCCCAACCTCTGACCTCAGCGTCACCCTAGGGAAGACACAAACCGCTTTAACTTGTGCTGAATGCAGCTGCAGCACAACAAGTTCACCCTCAGTTAAACAACAACAGCAGTGTCAGTTTACCTGAGATATCAAACATCTCTGATTCTGCCACATCTCTGGGGACCTGTATTCACACACACAATTAGTTTTTCATCTTGTGACATTTCTTCCTGCACATAAACGCTTCACAAAGTGAACAGGAGCGACACAAACGTGCTTCCACACCTCCCTGGGGCTGAGCTCAAGTCTCTCCTCCTCCCTCCTTTCAGCCTCCTCGGCCGCCTCCACCATCTCACGCTCTCGTTCCTTTTCAGAGTCTGTGGACTCGGGCCCTCTCTCGCCAACCTCCAGGTTCGAGCCTGAGAGAGGCGTGATGGTCGCAGCCTGTCTCCATAGAAACAGCACCTCTTCAGGCAAGACTGCAGGAGGAATAAAAAAATAGCTTTGTGGTTTATTTTTGAAAGGTTATTTGAGTCACATCCTTGAAAATAACAGTAGGTGGAAAAAGAAGTTGAATTAAAGGTGATATGTAACCATTTAGAGATATCAATGAAAATATTATCAGAAGATTAACCACCTTTATATTTTAACTATAAATGTTTGATTGATTGATTGATTGATTGATTGATTGATTGATTGGTTGGTTTATTTTTAGTCATGCTAGCAGCAGAGATGGCAATGTCTGTTGGTCCCTCCCCCACTTCGGTTCAGACTGCTACCGCTATTGGATGGGTTGCCATTCCTGTTCCCCTCAGGATGAACTGTAATAAATGATTCCTTAATCTTAAATCTAGCACCATCATTAGGTCATTAGATCAAATGGATGTAGAAACTTAAGCATCTTTTTGCATATCGATACCGTTCCACCACTCGTTAGACCTGTCAGTGAAAGGAATGGTAAAGAGGAAAGAGTGAACGTGTCGGCATCTTTAACATTTAGCTCAAAGCACTGCTGTGTCTAAGTACAGCCTCATAGAGCTGCTAGCACGACGGCAGACCCTTAGACATGTCTGTATGTGTATGTGTGTATGTGTGTGTGTATGTATAGCAGACATGCTTAGGTGTCTCAACATGTGTCACAAATCCTTACCATTAGTCAGATGATGAATAGCCTACTTTATGTAGAGCCTTCTTTACTGCAGGCTCAAATCCACAGTGACTCAGATAAAATATAAAGCCTCAACACAGCCAGAGTCCTCCCACACAGGTGTTTTCACTCATGTTGCCTGATTAGACCTGATTAGGACTGTGTGGCTCATTAACAATGGCTCAGTTCCATTCAAGTGTCCCACTGAGACATGACAGTGTGACAGTGAACCAGCATGAACAATACAAGGACCCTGAAACTGAAGCAGCTAAATGGAATCCAGCCATCATTCATTTTATCATTTACACCTGTGAGCCTTCAGATGACGTTTTGGGGGGATTCTGGCGGTGCACTGCTGTGTTTTCTTTGCACGTGTGTTACTGACGGGTGCAGGGATTGTTGAGGAGCTCAGCAGCAGGGACCATCCTGTGAGAGGAAGGCGGCGGGTAAAGTGGACGTCTGGTCTCAGTATGAGGGTTGTCGATCTGCTCTTGCAGCACCTCCTGAGAGATCTGCGTCTCCGGGTCGAAGAAGATCAGCTGCCTCTTCCTCCTCCTTGTCGTCACCTCCGGGGGAGGAACATCCTGGACATGGGAGGCAAACTGGGAATAAACTTTCCAGAACCGTCTTCCAGCAAATGTAGTCTAGGTACCACTTTATAACAAGGTATTTTTTCAGGTATTTAAGTTGTAATTAATGGTTTTATTCATTCTGATGTGCGTGGGATGAATATGTTAATATTCTCTCACTGTTGTTTATTGATGATGTTTTTTTATCTGTTCGAAGTAAAAGGGAACTGCTAATATAAGCGTGAGGTATAAAACCATTTAAATGGGCTCTATTCTTTCAATATAAACATAATTGTGTCTTTGTGGAAGACCATTAACCCCTGCAAACCTGGCAAACCATAAATTGTTCTTAATGACTTATAACTGATCAGTAAAGCATTCACATTCATTTATTAACCAATAATGAAGTCAGTTAAAACACCTCATTAGTAAATGAGGTTGTTCAGTGTCTTGAGCAGAAACATAAGCCGGCACCTCTAACTCTGGAGTTGGTCTTTCACGTTGCTCTGCTGCAGACGGTGGCGAGGCGAGGACGGGCACAGATACAGGGGTCCGCTGGTCTGTGGGGGGTCCGGGCATCTCCACAGACAGACCTGTCTCTTCCTGAGGCAACAACATGGCGTCTTCACCGGAGACAGTCGTCGGCTGTAATCTGACGCAGGTAAGTAGAAACACAGTCAGTGTGTAGTTGTGTGTGGTCTGTGTGCGCTGATGTTTCTATTTGCATCTGGATCATTTACTCAATAGTGGATCCTGTGAGCTCTTTTGTTCTCTCTCTCTCCAGGTCTCCCTCTAGTCCTCCCCTTTCCATCTCCCTCTCTTCCTCCTCTGGTGTCACATCTTCTCTCGGTATGTCCAAATCTGCTGTTAGAAAAGGGTAAAAGAAGAAAAAACACAACTATGAGTCCTTCTTCCTTTTCACCTCAAAACCCCCATAATTACACAGCATTATGTAATGAACAAGGTTATTATAGTGGTGTGGAAAAACTGAAATAAAAATAAACTACTTACAAAACTAACTAAAATAAGATAAAAATACACAGGAAATGACATTAGTCTTAGTCTTTGTCAGTTGGGTTTCAACACAATCTCTTGACCCTGACAAACACTCACCATATTATGATGAAAAGATACTAAAACTAACACTGTAACTAATAAAAACTAAGCTAAAACTAAACATATTTAAACAATATGAACCTGAACCCAATATGTAATATATTTTCTCACATTTTGTAATAAATTAGGTTTAATAAGTTGAAGCTTTTTGATAGCCTTTTTAGCGGAACCCTGTCAAAAAAACATTGTAGTTGTCGACCCTGCTGGAAATAAATGAGCTTTTCAAGCTGAGCATTGGCTGTATTTATAAGATGATGACAAGATGATCTTGTTACTGCTTTTATGTGGCTCTTTAGATAGAAGATCAGATTTAAATATAACAGGTCATAGGAGCCTAATTCATTATTTGGGAAGTTTATTTTATCTTAAAAGAGTATATTTACAGATGAAGAAATCTATTTTGGTTGGTTATTACATAATGCACCTTATTATTACATTTTCATCATGATAAAAGTGTAACTTTTTTTTTTTGTATTTTGTAATAACCACCACAAACAGCTCCTAGTTTTGCTACACACCTTCGGGAAAGTGATCTGTTTGGGCCAAGAGGAAGTCAATAGTATCTGGATGCTGATCGACAAGCTCCTCACCCTCAAACTAGCAGAGAGAAGAAGAAAGAGAAGAGATAAATGGATCCCAGTGAGCATTAGTAGAAAATCTAATACAAAAAATGTGGACATCTTTGCATGAGCCTCTTTTGACAACGGTACCTCTGCCACAGGGATAGTGACTGGCTCCGTCTCTCTCAGAGTAATGGTGTCAGGAGATGCAGTTATCCCTGGGGGACAAAATATGGACGGCATTAATAAAAGAAGCCACTATTTCAATGAGCCACTGAAACCAGCAGGAGAGGATGCAAGTAATCAAGCTGCAATTAAAGTGCTCTCTTCTGCCGAGTCAAATCCGGCTGCACAAACACTTCCTGACACCGCGGCATCAGCCTCAGCCAATTAGGAGGATGCTGTTGAAGGCAGTCTTCCCTGACTTCAGTAGTCAATGTGAGCTCTCTCTGTATTCCTGTGACCTGTTGGTATTTCTGCACATATCACTGCACATAATCTGACATACTGTACATTTCTGGACACGTTTGAATACGTCTTTCTGTAAAGCTGACATTTAATTAAAGCTCACATAATTAGGACAGGCTTTGTGTATCGTATTGTTTTCTGGGATGTAAATTCGTCAAATACCATTCCAAACAACTGTAAATATAATGGAAAAAATGGGAAAGGCTGGTAAGTAGATCTTGAGTTGGTATTATTTTGTCAATTTTGTCCATGTATTTGATAGTATTTACTGACCAAGTGCTTTTCACACAGTCATCGTCCTCATATAAACACTGAAATAGGTTTTGGTTGCTGTTTTTCATTCCTGTTGAAACTGGACATTAAAAGATCGTTTCTTAATGTGCCTCCGATTTGAATATATTCAAGAGTCCAAACTCACAGCCTTTTTAGCACACAATTCCCTGTTTTTATTACTATCTACACACTGCAGCTTAACAGGGAAACACTGTCTGTGAATTTTATACTACAAAGGCTGTAACCCTGGAGGATACGCACCTGATTTGTCAGACTGCTGAAGTCCATTATTTGCTTCAGATAAACTTTTGAATACTCTGGATTTTGTCCCCCTTCACTGAAAGTGCATTATGGGTCCTTTAATGACCGGAATGAAGAAGAGGAATTATTACAGCAAGAAAAGCACAGAAAAACTGTTTCAATATTCATATTTGCACTTGACTATTGTCGTAAAACAGACTTTAAAAAACTGTTCTTTTAATCAATCTGTTGATCACACCTTTCTGTATCTTCTCTTTGGCTTTTGACACCACGTAGAGTGTTGATTTTATGTGTATACATGCTTATTTTATTTTGTGCGGGCAGTGCATTTTATTTATTTTATTTTATTTTATTGTATTTTATTTTATTCTATTTTATTGTATTTTTGTATTGTCTACTTTTTATTGTGCTTTTATTGTGTTATCTATTTATTGTGTTTATCTTTTGTGCAGCACTTTGGAAACCTTGTGTTTTCTAAAATCGTGCTATATAAATAAAGTGGATTGGATTGGATTGGACTGATCAGCTCCATCCACTCAGCACCAGATTGTTTTTCAGTCTCAGAGGGAGCAATTCTCAGATCATGTATGTTTCGTGCTTCAAGATCCTGGTCTGCCAGCAGCCAGCTCTCTTTCACTCCCTCTGTTGGCCATACTGCCTCCTGCTCCATTCCACCTTCATTATTACTGAATAAATCTGTTAAACTTTATCTGCCTCCTTGTCTCTGTCCTGTGTCTGGGTCCAATATTAAACTAAAGCGTGACACTAGTGTGTGCTTTTAACGTCGCCTTTCTGATAAAAATTCATCGTCACTCAAACCAAGATAACCCTTTGACCTCATCAGGGTTATCTTTAGCCACAGAAAACCTTATACAACCTCTGTTATGAGTAAACTGATTATATTGAATGACATTGGTGCAGTGCCAGTTTAATGATCAGCTTGGTGTGCATTTTGCTTTCCTTATTAAAATCTTCCAATTAGTCTTGTGTATCGTGCTATCAGTTGGTTTAAGCCCTCATTAAGGAATAATAATAATAATCTATAAACAGGTTTAACTGTTTGTTTTCTGTAAGAAGCACTTTATTACATTTATTCATTTTCTGTTATTTTTCTTCTACAGTAGATTCTATTTTTTGCTGCTGCAATGCCCCAATGCCCTGCAGAGATCATTATTTTCATGTCATTACAGCACGTCGAGTCATCTTACCGCTTTCTAGTGCAGCAGCAGCAGCAGCAGCAGCAGCAGCAGCAGCAGCAGCTGGGCTGGTCGGTTCAGGACGCTCAGGAGAGGTTTCTCTCAGATACTCTTGACCCATCTGAGGGACACAGAACAGGCAGAGGACACTTATCTTCTCAGTACAAATATTTAGAGGATTTTCAGCTTCACCTTCAATTTACAAATGTCTGCTAAGCTCTGGTGTATTAAGACATGTAGTCATGTAGTCATGTTCTATACTAAAGCACACATTTGTAGTACTTTCTGCTTCTACTCCATTACATTTCAGAGGGAAATATTTTACTCCACTGCATGTTTCTGATTCATTTAGTTAATTTACAGATTTTTTTTTCAGACAAAAATCATATGAAGAGTTATAAAATATGCTTTGTTAGAAATTAAACTGTCCAATTAGTTGATTAGTCAATTAGCTGATGGACAGAAAATGAATTGGCAACAATTCCGATTAATCCAACTACAACAGCAAAATCCTGATTTTACATTAATGCATTATAAAAATATATATTATATAATAATGCATATAAAGATATAATAGAATAACACCGGAGGACATTCTTCTGCATTGAGTACTTTTACTTTTAATACTCTAAGTACATTTTGTACTGTATTTCTAAAGTGTGATGCTAGTATTTTTACCTCAGTAAAGAATATAAAGCACTGCTGACTTGTGTCTTTGGGTACCTGTATCAGTGAACTGGGACTGGGCATGGTATCCTTCATGTACATCACTCCGAATAAAGGGTCAGGAGCTCCTTCTGCCTCCTCCAGGAGAGCCAGGGCGTCAGGGAAGTCCAGAGCTTGTCTGAGAGCAACCAGGAGACCCAGAAGCAAGAAACAGGAGTTCTTTTGTGTTTGTAAGTGCAGATAAAACGTGTGAAATGTTGAGCAGCTGTTCTCACCTGCTGTGGTCATCCATATCAATTTTCTGGGACGATTTCTGTTTCAGCAGCTGACCCACAACGGTCTGAAGTTCCTCTGGAAGGACACAAGATCAAGGTCAACAACCAGTGTCTCTTTCCTCCAGTCTGTTAATGAGCCATTTATGAACTTCCTTACCCAGGAGAATAGCACATTGTCGGTGGTAGACGAGGATGACGCCGTACTGGAGCTGGGAGGAGAGGTAGAGGGAGAAGCGAGGTCGAGGCAGACCAGCCCGAGGTGGCGGGACCTGCTCCAGCACGTAGTCCATAATGTCATCACTGTGTGGGCATTAGCTTTATTACAACTGAACAGATCCAGCCACAATTCAGACTGACGATAAATATGTGACAATGGCTGAAAATAAGTTCTCACCAGGTGCTTTTGACGTTGACTTTTAGGAAATCCCGGCGGGGAACTCTGATGCCTTTTGTAGCAACCAGCCTGAAATGGACACGGAGTATTAATAAAATGACTCAATTGTAGAGAAACAATAGATGTGCCATTTCAAAACACGTCTTTGGCCATAACCTAACAATTGATGACAATATTTCACAATTAGTCAGACAGTGAATTAGTGACACTTTTGACACGAAAGGTCAAAGGTCACTGTGAGCTCAAAATTACCTTGACAAACATGTTTTTGGTCATAACCCAAGAATTGATGTGGTAATGTTTAATGTGACATTCAGTGTGACATTGTAATGTCCTGTAAAAACTCTTTTTTGGGCCATTATTCAACATTACAACTCAGGAACAGAAGAGGAGATTGGGACCATGGGTGCTTTTCATTTTGCTAACGTGTCTCCTTGCTTCCTTTCCTCACTCGCTTTCCTTCAGAAGCCTCCTCTCTCCTCTGTCTCCTCAAGGTGCATTTAAGGAACGAGAAGAGCTTTCATTCAACGATTTCTGAGTCACAGGACGAGTAGACGCAAGGAAAGCATAAGTCAGGGTAATGAAAAGCCCCATATTTCACAGAGGGTCGGACAGAGAATTAGTGAGAGTTTGGTTCAAAGTTCAAAGATCAATGTGACCCTTAAAATAGGATTTTAAAATAGGATGACACGTTGACTGG